GATGACACGGACATTTGGAGAGAACTTCAGAAATTTCTGAGGCATACTGGCTTTTACCTTCTCACGACTAATTCACAGGTTGATGTAAGAGAACACAATGAAGAGGTAGTTGGCCCAGGTGATGGTCACAGTAGCTATGCTGACTTGAAACATGTCAGCAATGAGCTGCTCCTTCATGCCCACTGCAACCCTGAATGAGAACATCAGGAACTCATCAATCAGAGGCATTCAGCAGGCAGGGCTGGCTTCAGCACATGCTTCCTCTCCAAGTTTCTGTGCTCTGGTCCAGAACACCAGGCGCGATGCAGAGGCTGCAATGGACTCCCAGAAGATCCGGAACACACATTCAGATGGAAATTTGGTGTAGAACCGGATCTGGTCATCAGAGGCACAGTAGCGGCTAAAAAGTGTGGCAGACAAATCCACTTTCTGAAGTCTGGCTTCCAACTCCTTAATATAATCCAGAGCTTCATCAAGTGCACCTGTAAAACCACAAAATAAAATAGCAAAACATGCGGTTAGCAATAAGTTTTAATTATATATTTGAAACATTACTTCTGTGAAGATCAATACATGTCGTGAGTCGGAGCATGTATGTATACAGCCATTGACTTAATCTCTCCACAAAATACATAACCACATAATCTCATAATTTCATCATTATGTGATAATAATAATAATAAAAATGATAATAATAATAATAATAATAATGTCATGGTCCGCAGTAGCATCTTCAGCCTGGCTAGCTTTCTGAAAGAGGACAAACTGCCGTTTCTTAGCCCTCTCGAAAGCAGACTCTCTCACTGTCGGTGCAGTGAAGTTATACCAGGCAAACAGGGAAGGAACAGCTTCACTTTTTAGGCGGCTGGTGGTGGATCCGCTAACAAAATCCTCCTGTGTGAAGTGGCGGCTACATACGAAAGTGCTCCCCGTCTTTATGCAAAAGTCCGGATCTTCATCTATTCAAATCGCCTGGATCCACTGCCTCCGTTGGTCCGGGTCCGTCGGGAACGCATAATAAGGCTGTTTTCTTGCCCCACATGAACAACCGGGGACTGAACAAAAACAACTAAGCTGAGACTGAGCCATTTTCCTAGCCTTTTAATGCTAACGCTATAGCCACCGGATGTTGTCCAACCCCACATCCGCCCCGGACCCGCGCATGCGCACAACCGACCCGGACCCGCGCATGCGCACAACCGACCCGGACCCGCGCATGCGCACAACCGACCCGGACCCGCGCATGCGCACAACCGACCCGGACCCGCGCATGCGCACAACCGACCCGGACCCGTGGGGCGGGGCGGGGCGGGGGTATAGACTTTTTTCACGCTCCGGGTTTGAAAGCGGATGTGGGGTTGGACAACATCCGGTGGCTATCGCGTTAGCATTAAAAGGCTAGGAAAATGGCTGAAAAAAATTACAAAAAAACTCACCTCCATGTTGAGATGCAGCAAATATAATCCTTGATGTCTCCACTTCTTAATCCAAAGTTTTGAATTTTGGTTACGTCTTTTTTGGGTTAAAATAAGTCCGCAAACTAAAGTTACCACTTCATCGTTGTTGTCCATGTTTGTTCGTATCTGGGATTAGAATGTGTGCGAGTGAAACCTCACACTCTACGATCGAACCCGTTACACCTACGATTTTAAATCGGCTAGAGTGTGGTCTCTCTCTCACGTTTTCAGAATCGGCTGACTTTTCTAAAATCATGTAGTGTGAACCGGGCTTAATTGTGAGATAATTGAATAGTAATAATGCTTCTTATTACTGGTATATTATTATAGTACTGCATTTTCCTTATTGTCCACTAGAGGACGGTGTTACTGCAGGTTTATTTTTTCCAGCGGCAGCAATACTAATGTTGCAGACAGTTTACCAACACATATTCTTACCTCCAATATGTGTTGGTTTATCCGAGTTGCACCATAATCGTCCATCACATAATGAGTACGTCATCATGCTATTTTTTTTTTTTTTACTATTATTATTATTGTTGAAAAGCTAAAGAAAACAAAAGAAAATGAACAAAAATGTTTGGCTGAAAGAAGAATTCCTTTATTGTCCAGAATTTTTCACATAACACAAATTTAAAAACTCTGCAGAATGTGCCTTGAGTTGTGCCATGACAGAGAAGCTGAACCATGTCCGAGTTGTGTGTCTGCTTGCCATCTCTGGGGAGCAAAACAGGATATCTGATTGTCATTTCCCAATGTGAAGAATGTACGAGAGACTCTCCAGATAACATAATTAAGTCTAATTTCAGCAGACTCAATTAAAAACAAAGGGAACAATAGTGTGTTCATGCTGTTTCAGAGGTGCTGCAGGAGGATGGTGAACCAGGAGTCAAATGTCATGACTGCGGCTCCAGACGGGGAAGGACAGGGAGTATGAGGTTTCCGAATGAGGAGTCCTGAGTGATGAAGAAGCCTGAAGAATGTGCGTGAGCATGCTGCGAAGAAAAAGGAATTAAAAAGGAAAAAAAGGAAAGGAAAAAAGGAAAAAAAAAGAATTAAAAAACAAGCATGAAGACTGAATCGATCAGGCTGCGGTTTTGGTTTGGTTTCTCACCTGTAATGCAGCTCTCTGCTGAGCGGCGATGTGCTGCAGCTCTGCGCTGTCTCTGAACTCCTTCATGTTTGGTCTGGACAGTGGGATGCTGCAGGATGAGAGGACGACCGCAGCAAAAACATTTACAATGTTCACATGGCGGCTCGCTTCAATCTTTGCTCCAAAAAGCCTCAAGTCGGAAACATTTAATAAGTCTCAGTTTTAGATTAGGCTTTACTTTTGTTAGTAACTGTTAGTTATGTGAGAAAAAGCTATGAATACGTTGTCACAATGCTGAAACGTAGACGTTTTTTTTTCAAAGGTCTACATCTCTACCTGGCTCCTGGGACATTCATGGACTGATTCTCCCTCAGTCGCCTCTTCTCCTTCTCCAGCTCAGCCAGGATTGCTACCCGTGCTTTACTTGGAATGGCTGAGTGACAGAAACGGGACCAGACAGACACAAACACAGAATGAAAACTTACAAAATATCAGATAAGAATAAATGAAAACAGAAGGGATGGATTGCAAAACAAGCTAAGCAAAGCTCTCATTTTGGGTAACCTGACTTTATAAATATAAAAACTCCTCTGTGGAGGGAAAGATTGTGACGCGATTTGTCAAGTTGGCTATTTCACTGCAAGTTCTGTACGTGCTTATATGAAAAGGGAAGTTTCACAGATCATCCAGATAAGGTTTGAAAGACAAAAAAAAAAATGTGCCCACAGCACTTTGTTCAGAGAAATAACCTTTCACATTCACAAAGAGAACAAAGAGGTGATGGAAGGATAAAACATTCTGTTCCTACAAAAAAAAAAAAACATAGTTTACAATTATTTTGCAGTTAATTTTATGTTTTATGGGTCATCAACATTTTGTTGTTAAATAGCTTCGCCACCAAAATAAAGAATAATAATTCAACAATGCATGCATCCTCTTAATAATAACAACTTACTTTATTTAATTAATTCAAAAAGTTTGTACAATTCAGAACAATTCAGAACTGCTGTTGTAAACAGAGTTCATGACATTGGGGACGTTTATAAATATCCCAGTCTGAGGTTTGAAGGGGGCCAGCAAGCAGGAAGATTTCACCACTAGATCGCTAAAGGTTATAGCTCCGCCCCTGCAACAAACAGGAACATTAAATAGCTACAAAAAAAAATAAATAAAAAAACAGTTTTAAAGCATTACCTTGTCCCGGTGGATTAGCAGCCATGTACTTGAAAGGCAGGAACCAAAAGGCTGGAATGAGCAGCGATTAGAAATAAAATGAAGGATTTTTAAATTCGTTTGGCTTTCGTTTCTTTTAACACTCCAGCCTGCTAATGTTGCAACACGGAGGAACGTTAAATGGGGCCTGCTTTTTATCAGCAAAGGTACACAAAAGTTGAAGAAAATGAAAAATTCGGCTATATTTGTTTAGGAACACCTGTAACAGTAAGGCTGGGTGTTTGAAATAACCACAGAGCTGTCTGTGGTTGTGAAACGTTTAAAGATCAGTCGAATTTTACTTCTGTGTTTTACCCGGTTTGTAGTTTAGATGGAGGCAAAAAAGAGGAGGTCTCACTTTGATTATATTTCGGGTACTTAGAAAGTTAGCATACTGGTGGCGATTAGCAGAAAGTAAACATGCCTACATGAAAAACGTAAATATATTCAATTTTTCCTAATATATATATATATATATATATATATATATATATATATATATATATATATATATATATATATATTTTTTTTTTTTTAATAAATATATATTATATATATTATATTATAGAATATATATATATATATATATATATATATATATATATATATATATATATATATATATATATATATATATATTCTATAATCTCTGAACATTACAAATACCAATCAACATTACACATCCCAAAATCAAATTATTGTTTGAGTTCTCCAAAATAATGTCTCAATAGATGTTTAATTAACATTCAATCCAATCTTTGATCAAGTGATTCATCTTTTCTGCTTCATTTAAAAATTCAGGACCTTTGATTCTCACTTGATAATTAAAATACTTAATACTTTCAAACTTGAACTATGCTGTTTTAAAGCATTCAAAAGTATTTTCTGTGCAAAACAATTTGAACTGCCTGTTGCTGAAATGTGCTGTATACAAATAAACTAGATTGATTATATACTGACAGATTATATGTAACAGTCTGTGGCTTCCAAGAGCTACCAGTTTGTGAAAATAATAGACCAAAACTCCAACTATAAAGTTACTTTTTGCTTCAAATCTCGTTAATTCTGACTCACCATTAGCATTAGCATTAGCTCAAGGCGGTTTATGGCTAATTTGCTAGTAAAATAGAAGAGCTGTAGATGCATCCATTTCAACGATCGGTTTCCTCCTCTTAATAGACGATCTCTGGATTGTCAGCCGTTGACGTGTTTACAACCGGGGTCTTTTAGATGAACATCCGGAACTGTGCAGTGTAGGTCAGCTGACTGTTGTGATCAACTAGCGGCTGTTGTTAACGTCTCATCTGAAGGGGAGCTTTGAGGTAGAAAACCCGTCTCCTCTGTCCGCCCGAACGCACCGAGCCGCTCCCCAGCCGCTAAGCCCGATAACCGGCCACGTCTTCCCGCCCTCAGCAGGGATGAGTGTCGGCGCTCCGAGAGGCCTGGCCAGCTCGGGGCAGAAGCTCATCACGGAGATCCTCCACCCGCTGTCCGCCGCCGAGGAGCCCCTGTCCCCGGGGCAAGATGTCACCGTCAGCGCAAAGGAAGAGAAGGTGAGGCTGGGCTAGGAGCTAGCTGCGAGGTTATCGGAAAGCACTGAAAGAAAAGAGAAGTAGACACCAAACTCTGTGGAGCGAACATATGGAAATTCTAACTTGTTTGCTTCCAAAGTCGTAAGTAGATTGGAGCTTGATTTTTTAAAAAGATTAAACTCAAGTTTGACTTTTGAACTGAATCAAATCTCAGAAATAAAAACCTAAATCACTTTTTTTCCCAAGATCACACAGTTCAGTGCTCATTTTGTCAAGTTAAAACTAAAATCTTTTTATTGAGTTTTCCCGTGACTGGTCAATATAATGTCGTGCATAATGGAGACCACACGCTTTTTTTCCAATAAAGCCTGAAATATGTGCCCACTCTTCTTTTCAAAATAGCTCAAGCTTGGACAGATTGGACAGAAAGCATCTCTACTCATCAAGCCTTTTCAAATTCCTAATTGGATTAAAGTCTGTGCTTTGACTAGGTCAATGTGACACATGCTGAAGGTTGAAACTCTGTTCTTGCTTTTGCAGCTTTGAACATGGCAATTGTCCCCAAAACATGATGCTGCCACTGCCACCATGTTCCAAAGGGTCTGAGTTGTTTAAATTGACAATAAATCACACACAGCTGAACTCTACATGCTAACTGCGTTTTCTGGCGGCTGTTGTCTTAATCTCCTGTTTATTTTGTTAGAAAATCCACAGATCAAGAACGCTAATGGAAAGATTTGTGTGTTCTTGTATTTTCAGCCCATTTTTCTTTACGTTTGAATTTTTTTTTTTTTTACACATTTGTTGCTTGACACTGAATCAACTTCATCAGTTTTCAGCCTAGAAAACACAAACACAGCACACACAATGCACAAGCAGGGCTGGAGGATAAATGGCCTCCTTGACAACCTCTGAGTGCTGCGTCAACATAGATGGAGCATGCAAGCAGGTCACAGAGTCTTTTTTACTCCTCTTGGAGCTGCGACTGTAGCAAATCAGCGGTTAATCATTGCCATTGAGAGCACCTGAAATTTGCTCATCATGGTTAGTTGCTCTGAGTGTTGTTGCTGCTCTTGTCCTTCTGTTCTCTCTTCCTGTTAAATGCTGGACAGTGAGGTCACTGTAATCGACTTAACTGGAGAAATATAACATCATTGGGAAGTGGAAGAGAATGAGACATGGTTTTTAACAGATACAGATCTTAAATGTGTGGTGTGGATTTGTTTACGGTCTCCTTTACTCTAATATCTCTAAAATAATTCAATTGAACTGCCTTTAGATTTCACTTATTTAGTTTTTATTTTAAATCCAGCTGGTACTTGGAGTGCTTTAGAAGTTTGTTAGGAGATATTAGTCGACAAATATAATCATGGAGAGGCAAAAACACAGGTCAGGGATAAAGAGGAGGCAGTTAAAGCCTGATTGGGTTGTAAAACAATATTTAAAGTTTTAACATCACATGGACCACAGTTCAGTTCACCACCTTAAAAACAGAAAAAGCAAGACACAACTACATACCTATCCATAAGCAGCTGAGGACCAGAATTACACTTAAAGTATTTTTTTTTGTAGTTAAATATTTGTTGTCATCATATTGAAAATACTTTTGTTTAAATTTTCCAATTTTCTTTTTGCCTATGTTTTTTTATTTTTAAACCTCAACATATTAGTTAAGTTGTAGTTTTATAAGTACATATGTCTCTGATATTGTAAGTTTTCTTTTTTCAAAAGGCAATATAGCATTCATGGCTCTAAACAGGTTTTATTTAGCTGAGCTGAGGGTGAAAATGTTTGTTTGGGTTGTAAATCTTGCAGACCGCTGCCCCAAACGGACATGGCGGTGGCAGCATCATGGTTTGGGATGCGCTTCTTAAACACAAGGTGGAAAAACTGTTGAGGTTCTCCAGAAGATGTGAGACTGCAGAATAGTCTTAAATATTGAGCCAATCAAAGTATATTTATTTTCAAGTCCAGACCCGAATTGCTAACAATTTGATAATCTGTAGTAAGATGAAAAAATATATTTTTATCGCTTTTAACCAATTTAAAAGCTGTTAGAGACAAAAAGTGGTTTTTGGAGGTGGAAGAAAGAATAAAAAAAAAGCATTTTTTTTTTTTCCAGTTTGTGGTGAAATTGCAAGCTATTGCAATATAACACGGGAAATGATTTGTACTTTCAGTAACTTCTTCTCTTTCTGGACCCAACAGAGAAGTGTCATTTGCTTAGTAGTAAAGAAAAAAAAAAAGAAAAGATCAAACAAAAAAAGCAGTCCCACAGTTTCAGTTTTATTTCCAGTCTACGTTGTTTGCAAGCTTCGCTGGCCTGGTTGTTCATTCATGGTAATGTCCTGATGCAGTGTAATTATCTGAGCTGTGATTACCAGAGCAGGTCAGCAGTCCAGAGGTAGATTTCCTCTGTCAGCAGCCTGTTGGTGGGTTTTCTGTCTGCTAGCGGTGGACATAATGTGTTTGTGTGTGCATGTGAAGTGGACTGAGGAAAGGAAGACAGAGGGCTCCTCTCCTCTCCTCTCCTCTCCTCTCCTCTCCTCTCCTCTCCTCTCCTCTCCTCTCCTCTCCTCTCCTCTCCTCTCCTCTCCTCTCCTCTCCTCTCCTCTCCTCTCCTCTCCTCTCCTCTCCTCTCCTCTCCTCTCCTCTCCTCTCCTCTCCTCTCCTCTCCTCTCCTCTCCTCTCCTCTCCTCTCCTCTCCTCGCTGCCTGAGTTTGACACGTTGCACATGTATCCTCTTTAAAAGAAAAAACAAAAAAAGCAGATAAAGCTGAAGCACAGGAAGGTTTTCTTCACTCCATTTCTAGGTGAAAGTTTTGCATGTGAGTCAATATGAATTGTTACTGTTGGGAAAGTTTTGCAGCTTCCTCCAAGACTGAAAAAAGAAGCCCTGAATTCTTCCTGTTGTGTTATGAATCAGAAAACTGATCTGGGCTGCGCATCGTATTCACGATGTCCCGACAACGCGCCATTGACGATGAAAAACGGCTTTATCAGCGTGACGGTGGTTCTATCAGGGAGCTCTTTGTCTGCCATCCTCCCTCTAAGAGCGCCACCGTGACGTCGCTGTCGTGTCCCTCGTTTTCCCGGCAGGAACCGGGCCTGACCAACGGCACGCCGGCGGAGCTTTCCAGCCCCGCCTCTGCGGCGGTGCTGCTCAGCAGGCTGCAGCTGGACGGCGACCCGGAGGCCGACGCCGACGACCCGTTTGGCTCGGGAGAACCCCGCGACCTCTTTGTCACCGTCGATGACCCAAAGAAGCACGTCTCCACCATGGAGACGTACATCACCTACAGAGTCTCCACTAAGGTTTGTCCTCAGCTGATGTCTGGTTTTAAACCAGCTCTAACTAGACTTGACTAATTCTTTAACAATCTTCAAAATTACCCTCAGCATCATTGCGGTACATAAAACCTCCACCATGTTAAAGCTGCAGTTTGCAACTGTCATTGAAAAAACGTCAGTTTTTTTTTACATAGTTGTTTAAAACATGAGATAGAACGTTTGTGAAAAACTCGAGCTCCTGCGACTCCTCCCTGTAGAAATGCAGTGCTCGTTCAGAAACAACCTCTCTGCGAGGCTGTCGCTGCGAGGCTGTCGCTAGTTCCCCACACCGGAGCGAGTTGTGAATGCTAAATAAATAAATAAATAGTTTTTATGTCACAGTAAGTTGTTCCTCTGCGATTAGCAGCGACGGGGCTTTCCCATGGTGCACCAGCACTGAGAGCCTCTCCTCTTCCCTGCTCTCTAGATACCACAACTATTGTCTGTACATTAGTTGCGAATGCACCTAATGTATTCACAATTTAGCAGCACGTTCACAAGAATGATTAACAGTCTTAAGACATGCCTCCTGACTCTGATTGGCTGCTTTTGGTCAGGAGAAGCACATTTCTTCAGGTGGCAGTAGTAGCTCAGGAGGAGATGATGAATCTGTCTCATGTTGTCACACCATGGTGATAGATTTAACAAATGTATAAAATGTTTTTAATAAAAGTTATTTACTGCAGCTTTAATGCTTCAATTTTTTTTCCTCCTTGTCATGAATAGATCTACTCAGCTCAAAGGTTGTATTTTTCAGCCTAGAAATGACATACTGAGCTCGAAAGCAGAGTCCTTTAAACCTAAAGCTTCAGACATAAAGTTGAACTTGCCTTCACTAAAGCCTGGAGGAAAACCTGAGTCTTACTTTGGAAAGAAATGCGTCAGGAACAAGAAAGCGTTTTTCAATCGCAGCGCTGCCACGAACTGAAAGTCCCTGCAGCCAGGTTTCCGTGATTGGAACTGGGAAAGAAAAGGAAAAAAAACAACATTTGGCTTCAAAACTTACACCTCCGTGACAGTGACTTCCAAAGATATGGCAAGAACTGCTTACATTATTGAGCATGGAAAGGCTTCTCCAAGGTCCTGACCTCAACACTGTTTAAATTAGAGGGAATGAGTCAGAATAAAGGAGAAAAGTTTGTTTAACTTTAGCAGTTCTGTTATTTTAAGGCCTTCAACAATCCAAACTGAAAACACACAGAGGAGAGCCAAAAACGCCCCGGAGCTCCTTCATAATGTCACTCTGCAGGTTGTGATGAAGTGAAGTTTGACAGAAGATTTCGTTTCTATATTTAACAGCTATAGAAAGTCTGCGCTTGCTTGCTATTATGGCAGTAATCCGCTAAATCTCAGGGCGACATGGTGACAGTTGCTTTGAGCAACAAGGCTCTTGGTGTCTGAGGCTGCACAGCAGTGCTTCAGCCAAATAAAAGCACAAAGTGTTAATGGAGACCCTGTGTGTGTCTGTGTGTAAAATGTGTTTCTTTCTTTCTTTCCCCCCAGACGACACGGATAGAGTTTGACCTTCCTGAGTACAGCGTGCGGCGGCGCTACCAGGACTTCGACTGGCTGAGGATAAAACTAGAAGACAGCCAGCCGACCCACCTCGTCCCTGTACGTCCCACGAGCCTTCCCCGCTTCGCGCCGCGCTCCCGTCGAGACGCTCCTCATTCACACTCCCTCTCCCTCTCCTCTGTCTCCAGCCGCTGCCAGAGAAGTTTGTGATGAAGGGTGTGGTGGACCGCTTCTCCGAGGAGTTTGTGGATACAAGGATGAAGGCTCTGGACAAGTTTCTGAAGCGAGTCGCGGACCACCCAGTTCTGTCTTTTAACCCACATCTTAATGCCTTCCTGACTGCCAAGGTAAGGCAGCGCTGGACTCAGACTCCAATAAATCATCTCAAGTGTGCCAGAACAGGAAAACAGTCCTGCAGAGATGTGAATGTAGAACACAGTAGAGAATCTTTCACAGCATTCTCTGCATATAAAAAAAAGACTTTAAATAAATCAATCCAAAGCATTCTACTTTAAATATATGTATTTTTCTATACAAAATCACTGGAAATAATGCCCAGCCAAATCCTAAAAAAAATAAAGTAACATTAACCAACCTCAAAAAAAAAAATGTACGTAAGGCTGTAAATGCCAGTTATTCACAATTTTCCATTGTGATAAGGCAGAGATCTGCAGCCTGCGACTCTTTGGAGCTTCCTCAATAAATTGCTTAAAAATAGTAAAGAATCAATAAATGTTGTCAAAGATGGATAAAACAAATGCAGGTTTTAGCCGGTTTTTCAGATTTTTTTTTCTTAACTGCCAATCATTTGTGAAATAATGGCAATAATTTCTATAACAGAAAGTTTAAAGTACCAGGAATGTTCCTTTATATTGATCATGATCAGTTTTTGGGTCCTTTTTTTTCTTTTTGTTTTTAATCATATATCCATAGAATGAAATGCACCCATGCTTTTATTTTTTTTTCTTTATAGTAAAACCTAAAAATATGATGGTCCTTTTTCTTTTTTCATGGTGTCTAAAAATAACAAATTTAGAAATGTATAAAAGTTTTTTTTTTTTTTTTTTTTTTTTTAAAGGTTATTGAACATTTGCAGCTCAAAAATGATCATAGAAAACTTTTTAGTGGGTAAAGGCTGCTGAGCCCTTGATCTGTGGTGTAAATATGATTACACCCAGTTACACAGGATGTGACTATACAAGTATAGTTACCCACCAAAACTTGCTAATTTTTACAGTAGGGGCAGTTATTTAAAAGTTCAGAAGATCTTGAACTGCTATAAATAATTCTGTAGGTAAACTAGATTTTCTTTACCACCCTGTTAGGACAGAAGAAGAAGTGCCCAAAGTCCACAGTTATTACAAAAAGTAGCATCATAAAGTCACCAGGTTTCCATTAGACGCCATCTGCTGCACACGTTAATAAAGAGGGCCTCTTTTGTTTTTTTTAATCTTACTGGTTACCCTGACTACACATGTCTTTGCAGGACCTGAACAAGCGTCAGGGTCTGGCCCTGCTGACCAAAGTGGGCGAATCTGTGAAGAACGTGGCCGGAGGCTACAAGCTGCGGGCGCGGCCGGCTGAGTTCTGTGCCATGGGAGAGTATCTGGACACGTTCAGCCAGAAACTGGGAACCATCGATCGCATCGCGCAGAGAATCCTCAGAGAGCAGTCGGGTATAATCAGAGAGCCTGCTGGACAACACACACAGCAGTTCACTGCAAAAACACTCCATTTTACCACGTATGTCTGCTCTGGTTTCCAGTGCAAATATCTTTTGTGCACTTGAAGTAAGACAAAAGTAACTTTTCAGCTAGAAATTGGAGTTTGTGTTAGTCAATATTTTTTTAATATTGACAAAAAAGTCCCAGGTCCATTGGCAAATTATTATTTTTTTTTACGTATATCCAGTACAGTTCATAAATAATAAGGAATCTTTGACTTAATACAAGCTCCTATATCTTCTTGAAAAGTTGCTCTTTAGTTTGATCTTATTTTAAGATATTTCCACTAGAAACTAGACCAAAAATACAGAGTTGGCGTTAACTGAGTTTTACGTCCATTCTAGCAATAAACATAGAGATGATGACGTTGATCTGAATGATGGTTTGACGTTGATCTGAATGATGGTTTGAACCTTTTCATCATAAATCTAAACGGTCTAAACTAAGCTGTATGTGTGAAAGAGAAACTCTTCCTGCACTCAGCAGTGAGGAAAGAGAGGAAAAGCTGCTGACCCTGTTCACCTGACTCATGCATGATGTGTGATGCTGTAAATACCTGCCGTGTGAAATGTTCCCTGTCACCGTCTGTCGGGGCTGTTGACATGCGGCGTTGGACACGTTCCCAGATAAGATGGGGACTATTTCTAAGTAATCAGTTGCAGAGAGTGTGCCGGACTGTTTAGGCCCAGTTTCTTCTCCAGTCAAGAAAAGAGAACAATTCGCTCTCTAGATGAGAACGCCTCGCTCGACTCACCCTGCTGTCCTTTCATTTTCGCTCCCAGAGTACCTGACGGAGCTGCGCGAGTACGGCGCCATCTACTCCACCTGGGCTGCATCAGAGGAGCAGCTGCAGCGCCCCCTGGAGGGCGTGGCCGGCTGCGTGTCGACGAGCTGCAGTGCTCTGGAGGATCTGAGTGACAACATGAGCCAGGACTTCCTTCCTGTTCTCAGAGAATACGTTCTATACATCGAGTCAATGAAGGTAAGAGTGCAGTTAGATCAATGTTATCATAACTCATTAGAAATGCAACAATATGAACATTTGGACTGATATTGTATATGTTTTTCTACCGTTTTGACGCTTTTGGGAATAAAACCAAACTCATATCAGCTTCAGAGTCATTGTCATGTCCACAGCCGATGCTTTCCAGCAGCAGTCAGCCTTGCCACAAATCTGAAGAGGCCTCTGACCGAAGACTGTTGCAGAATCAATATTTCATCAGTGTCATGATGAAACATAACTGACTTCATTATATTTTTGTAAAATAAAGTAAGAAGAAAGTTTCTTCCACTGCCTTTCAAACCCAGAGCTGCTTCCACTTTGCTACCAAACTAGAAAAGGTTCCGCCAGTGTTTGTTTTTTTTGCATCCATCATGTCCTGTCCAGCTCAGGACTCAGCAGAACTGTCTGAGGCCGCGCTGTGTTGCGACTGACGTGGACAGCTTTCTTGTCTCATAACAGAACGTTTTGAGGAAGCGAGACCAAGTTCAAGCGGAGTACGAGGGCCGCCTGGAAGCCGCCGTGTTGCGCAAACAAGAAGATCGGACGCCCGTAAGCAAAACCCTTCCTCTTGTTTGATTGAATTTCACAATTGTCTATTAGGATAGTTTGCTTTTCAGCTGGTTCTAGTGAACTGTCGCCGTGTCTGTTGCATGTCTAGAGTAAAAGTGTTTCTCGATTCTTTCCCCCCCTCCACGCTGCACCTCGTAGTGTTGAGCCCGGTCCCCGCTAGCTCTAGTTTTGTCTGCTCTGCTGCAGATCCCTGTGGAAGTGGAGAAGTGCCAGGACAAAGTGGAGTGTTTCAATGCTGACCTGAAAGCAGACTGGGAACGCTGGCAGCGGAACAAGAGGCAAGACTTCAAACAGCTCCTCACGGGCATGGCCGACAAAAACATCAACTATTATGAAAAGGTACATGGGCCGAGGTCAACCTGAAAGCAACCCAGATCTCCACCGTGTGACATCACAGTGCCCTGCAAAAAACACTTTTTTTTACTCCTCTTGTCTTTTGTGTTGTCTTGAGATCTTATGCGATTTTGCACAATCAGAATTTTTTCTGTCTTAAATGTCACTCAATTGTCATTGATAAGAACTTAAAAAGTATTAAATTTGACTTACTGAAACTTGTCGATACCTTGAGAGTTCCTAAGTGCAAGGTTAAATATTTTCTAATTATTTAAAATGAAAATTATAAACGTATGCATTTGTGTGCATCCCCACCCCTCTTTATCCTAATACCCCTCGAGGAAATCGTTGCAGCTAACAGCCTTCATTAGTATGTAGTCTGTCTCTTAGTGATTTAATCTTGCTATTAATACAGTGGTTGTGTGCCGACCTAAACTGACCCTTCGTTCCAGGAGAGTTGGGTTTTGTAGCTCTAGAGGAGCTTCAGAGATCACCAGCTCAAGTTGAAGAAAACATGACTTTTATGGAAGAGTGGAGTGAAGAATTAAGCCAAAACAAGTCCAGTTTTCAATTTTCCTCAGTGGTTCCCAAACTGCTTCCAACTCACAAAGCAGCAGAGCAGATTTTGGGAGTGAAAAATGACTTTCCAATGAGCTATTTTCCAAGAGCCACTATTTTGTCTGTTTCCATTGTAAAAATGGCTGACCTGTTGAGCACCGTTTCAGTTGTAGGCCCATGTAGGACAAAAACACAGTTCAGTTAGGACGGAGCTACTAGCAAGTAAGAGACGCACAAGTGCAACGTGAAGCGTTGGTGTTTGACCCGCCTGCCCATTCACAGTCCAACTAACGGTGGAAACAGAGAATACAGCAGAGCATAAAAGCTGCATGAGCAGCATGTGAACTAATTTTACATCTCTGTAAGCACCGTTTGATCCATGGTAACATTTACAAATTAAAATATGCTTTACTTTTTTCTTAGTTTTTTTTGTTTATTTCAGAAGATTATCTGGAGAGGTATGAATTGTAATTACAAATAAATCTCTCCTCTGTGCAGAGCCAGGCAGCGTGGGAGTCCCTCATAACGCTCCTCCAGGAAAAACAGACTGAGGACAAAACGAGCGAGACGAACTGAACTGAACTGAACACGTACTTGAACGTCACGCACAGCCAAGCCAAGGAAAACCAGCGACAGGGCAGCAGGTTCTAACCGCCAGCGGTCCGCCTCCTGCTACCCTGAGAGAAACAATGACGATGACACGGAGAGCGGCCGCCTTCCACGCCGATCCGGCCTGGGAAGAAAGGTAATGAGAGGTGTGTTTGAGGTCAGCTGGGACAGTGGAGAATCTTCTGTACAGATCCGTCTTTTTTTTTTTCTTCTTCTATTTTTATGGACTTTTTCTACCTAATATTTCAGATTAACGGTCGTTTTTGTTTGTTTGTTGTTGTTGCCAATGCTGCTTGTGTTTATTTATCTACTTTTGTGGGGAGATGCGTTATTTTGTCCGCTCTCTCCGTTTTCACACTGAGCCAAATGGGTATCGAGGACCGGAAATGCCGCAGTTCAATATATCAATAAGATGGTAAATAAATATTTATACATGCTATAAGTCAATTAAAGTTGTAAAGAAATTAACTGATTATTATTTGTTAAAAAGAATAACAAAATGAGAAAATGTATTTTTTTTTTTAGCTAAAAGCAGACATGATTTATTTTTTTAAAATTTACTTCACACTTTGATCTGCTTGTTTTGTCCGACCTAGTAATGGAAGTGTTTGGGCGGAGCTAGTGTTGCTGCAGACAAGAGGATTGGTCGACAGCTGAATTGATGTGCAGCTTAACCAATCAAAATTTCTTTCTCAAATGCAGCACAGAACATGTGACAAAATTGAATACATTTGGACTTAGTTGTAAATAATGTAATCCATTGTTAATTTTTCATGAATAAATTTATTATTTTTTTAATATTAGCTAAATTTATAGGTTTGTTTATTTAATGTGATGCAATTTCATGTGGATTAAAATTGTACATGTATGCAAGTATATAAATGTTTATTTACCGAATGTATTGGATTGTGGCCTTTCGTTTTGCTTTTGACAAATGGGAATAACCTCAAAAAATTTTGGTTTGATTTTTACTTTTTTATTTATTTATTATTTTTCTTTTTGCTTCTACAAGAAGGTAAAACTCAGAAATTGTTACATCAAAACTTGTCATTTGACTAAATTTTTCAGCTGAAACAGTTTTTTTTTTTTTTTGGATCCTTGCATCCAAGAATTATCACAGGAATATCCACTTGACGCCCTCTAATAGCTGTTTAACAACATTTCATAAATATTTTCCCACATTTTCTTTAGTATAGTGAACGATAAGTGTCATGATAAAACCAAATGAGGAAAAATATCCTAGTTTAAAATTCCAGGATATTTCCTAGAATGTTACACACTTATAAATAGATAAGTGTGTAACAGCACCACCTCGTGGCAAAGTTTTCCTCTGCTTCTCATTCTCTACTTCTGCTGGATTCGGTTGTTAAAGTGGTTAAGGTCATTTAAAGGCACGGTATATTAATATTCCAGCCTTCTTTGACATGCTATAAAGTTGGGAATGTTAAGTGGAATATGGCCTTGGAATAACTTTGAGGAAAAAGTGAATGCTGTAATGCAAAAAAAAAAAATGTATAGAGCTGGAAACGGTGAATCATTCAACCCTGATGGAGCTTAAGACCGCCCAGTAAAAATGTGATTTTTGCTTTGGAACGACAACCTGTTGCAGGACCTACATCCGAGGTGATTCCATTTTGCTTTAATATATTCAGTTACTTATCAAACAGAAACTGCAGGAAGCCAATTGACTGAGCAAATCCTTTCCAGTATACATTTGTTCTGCTTGCTCACAGTATTGACTTTGTGGAATCATCTGCAGAGCTGTGACTCAATTGGAAAATATTAGAAAACACGGAAGCAGCCTCCCGAAAATACCCATTTTTTTTTTCTCATATTCTTTACTTGATCTCAATTCTAAAGGGGAACAGAATCACTTTGCTGCCATCGGATCAAACGGTTCTCCTTTGGTGGCTCTCAACCACGGTACGAAGATGAAACCTGCTGAAGCGTCATAATATATTCTCTCTCCTCAGCTGTGTGTGCTTGAGTCAGTGTGACCTGGTGTTAAGTTGCAAAATGTGACCAATGTTTTCAGGACAAGCTCAGTTATGTGACATTAACCCAACACCATGTTAACGTGTAGCTTTAGTTCATTTTTGCACAGATGTAGCCTCAGACAGAATCATCTGTCTGATAAAAGAAGAGATTCTTGAAATAAAGGTACGATTGTTTAGATTTTTGTTTTTTCAGGCTGATGCCACATTACCGGACCTGCCCTCTTTACAACCGAACATGAAGGCTGAGTTGGTGTCTGCAACTTGTAGATGTTGTCAGCTTCCTCGTTTTTTTTTTTGTTTTTTTTTGTTCCTCATTCTTATGTCTACCTTGACCTTTTTAACCTTTGACAGTAGCTACTTCTTTAACTGTTCTATCAGATGTGAAAAAAAGGATAAAAATGAAGGAAATAAAATGCAATTAACTTGTTTTTTTTTTGAGAGGTCCAGATTGAGATGATGGTTCCAGGTAGCTAAGACAACCGGAGGCAGCTGTAACAGAGGTTCAAACTAAAAAAAGCCTGAATGACTGTAACTGACTGAAATAATATCAAAATATGAGGATGCACTCAAGAGATCCAAATACCTGTTTTGTTTTTGGGGTTTTTGTAACTATGATGCTGCTGTATTAAAACAAACTATGTTTAAATATTACATTGAATACATGCTTAAAAACTGTGACTTTTACAATTATTGGCACCCCTAGTAAAGACGTTTGAATCTAATCTCACAATACATGATGGCGTAAAAACAACTGCGGCTATTGTAGCGAGCCACTGGTGATGCTGTGGGAGTGAAACAGGCCCTCAGCATCACAGACCCTCCCCCATACTTAACAGTGTGTTTTATACATCCTGTTTGTTTCAGAGTCAACGCACCTGGAGTGTTTTCTCATTGAGCTTCAATGATTGTAATTTTTTTCTGTGTGTGGAGGGGACATGAAGTTGGGTACAGTGCATGTTCAGTTGACTTGAGTGGCAAGTTTTCTCATCTTTCCCATTTTGAAACGATTAGGAGAAATTGACCTCCTTTTGTACGTCATAATTTTTACCTCTATTGAAATGAACACCATCAGTTGCTAATTTAAAGTTTCTTGATATTCTGATGAATCTAAAAAAAAAAAAGAGTATAATTTGTTGCATTTGTTTTATAGAAACTGTTAAGGTGCCAATAATGAACTTTATTTAACAAGTTTCCTAACCTTAATTTGTTTTCTTGCTGACTAAAGAGACTTAGATTTTCAGTAGGAGATCATGTTTCTCTAAAAAGCTGAATTTATTTATTTATTTATGTTTTTGTTTTTTTTTACATTGTTTTACCAGGAGTGCTGATAATTGTAGAGGGTGCTGATTTGAAATCATCAATTGGAAACCTTTACGTCGGTACTCAGGGGTCCTGACCTCTAATAGTGGTAAAAATAGAAATGTTGGTGACCAGTTTAAATGAATCGTAATAAAAATGAAACAAAGGGAAGAACTTCCATCGTCAAGCTTGAGATTTTCACGCCCACTTTTTGTTTACTTTGCTATAGACGGAACCGTCAGAGAGGAGTATCATTTTGTCATTTTGTTTAAAATTATAAACAGGTAGGAGTTCATCCACGGACCTCTTCCTGGAGAAAAAAAAACAGAAACATTTTCCTTGGTGTTTGGTTTTGTGACACCAAAATGAAGTAAAAAAGACAAAAACAAAAAAGTTACTCTTGCATTAAGGGAGAAATATTTTTGTGTTTTTTATTTTTATGGCGTCCAGTTGCTGCCATTTGACTCGCTAGCGAACCGACTGGACAGGTGTTCAAGTCGGGGACGTTTTTTTTTCTTCAAAGCTCTTAAGCCAAATGTCCTCGTCTCCTTCCTGTGCAACTTTCACACGTTTAATGAGATCTATTTTTGTTTTTCTCTGTTCCACCCCAGTGTGCTCTGTTTACGTCCCGAATTGTACATTCGAATGTTAATAACAATTTGTTGTAATTATAAATAAGCTTGTATACTGATGTTTTGATGCAATTTATCTTTACCACATTTTTTGGATATACTGGACCAATAAATAAAGAGAATAAATGACGACTCATTTATTTTGGATTTGAATGCAATGAGAAAAGGTAATTAAGTCAGAAAATGTGCCAAAACATAACAGGACCAATATGGTTTAGTTAAAAGTGTCCAAAACTTTTTTATTTAAATGAACGTGTGAACAAAAAAAACACGTGAACAGTGAAACACCCTGTAGTGCATCAACGCTTCAATAAGAACATTTCAACACAGAAGTTATTTTAAGCTGCAGCAATAATAATAATAAAAGCATTTCAAATTGTTTAGTTTTATTTTATTAGACTAAATAATGCCTTTTTCATGGTTCGAGCCCAAATGCAGACTTCAGTGATCAGGTATAAAAAGCGACAGAGAAAAATATGAATCGTGTAAAAATGACATATAAAAAAATATATTTACAATGCTTAATAGAAATTAGTCTCCTTGACAGACTAATTTTTAACTAATTTTTTGGTAAACAGCTGAAACAGTAAAACTTGTTAATGTGACCAAATATACAGTCGCAGTAAATTCTAGGGTGTCGGTGGGTCTTTACTGAGTCCCACAATAATTTATCTCTCAAGTGTACAAAACCAAACACCACTGATTCCACCATGTCATTATTTGCTAAACAAATATGAAGTAAAAAAACAAAACGAAGTCCTCTTAAACACTGTACATAAGTACAATAGAATCACACATTAATGATCCCCCCAGCAGATATAGGCTTAAAATAATACGTTAATTTTCCCAGAACATTTCTTCTGATGAAATAATACCCATCATTCATCGTTTAGCTTATGGCACATTTCAGCTACTATGCAGTTCAAAGTGCTTTACACCATGAAAATATAAAAGCATCATAAGTCACCAGTGACTGTATGCAGTGACCCAACCCGAGCCCTGAACCGAACCCAACGGGGAATCCAAGGATGTTTGAGTTTAAAGCAAAATGCCAACAGAGTCGTTTCAATTTTAGGTGACTGGGTCAACCAGTCTCTCAATAGAATTTCTGAACCGGTACCAAGCTGAAATGACGGCTTCAGGTTAATAAATCTCCAGTGTACAACATGTAACGAGTAAAACCTGAGAGCCAAACATTGCGTAACATTCTCAGTTCAGATTCACTCCCTAAATCTCCAAAGTGTTGAAAGCGCACGGCATGCGTCATTTTCAAAACGACTTCTTCTTTTCTAACAGAAGCCATAAACATCGTCTGATAAAGTAATCTGGACGATGACGCTTTCCTGTAACCTTTGACACGATTTCAAAAACTTTTTTTCTTTTTTTTTGTCCAGTGAGTTTTGAATATCTGTCAGAAAAAGTACCACCCATTACACCACAATGGAAATTATGGTAGGCAAGTATTTTCAAAAATGCTGCATCAGCAGGTTAGAGGAAGTGGCATGTTTATGTTTCAAACACTTAAGTCTCATTTCCCAGTTTGCTTGTGATAAAAAGAGCTCACTGCTCATTCGTCAGTCTCCCTGAATCCTCACGTTCTCCTGCTTCTGAGCCGACCTGCAACCGACGATGCTAGAGGAAGGACGCACAGAGAGAATGAAAATCAGACGGAGTGTTATAGGAATAGGTCTCTCAGCAGTTTTCTGAGTGGCGTACCTGACGGGTATCATGGAAGTGACTGTGATGACGCTGGAAATCATAAACACTAGGCCTGGGAACCAGGTCAGACTGCTCTGATAGATCTTTGTGAAAGCAGGAATGTAGATGGCGCCGGCCACCTTTAGAGTCATCTGCAGAAAGGTCAGAGCGATGCCTGACCAAAAAAACAAAACAAAACAAAAAACATCCAAAAAAGGCGTCAAGGATAAAATACAAGAAAAGAATCATAAAGTAAAGGCTGTGTTGACATTTACAGTTTTTATTTGGTTTGAAAAATTTTAGCAGTGATCTATTAGAATTGGTGAACAAAGACTGGATGAACCAACTGCACAGGACGTGTCTGGTTTCTAGTAAATGATTCTGCAGCTTTAATTTCTGCAGAGACTAACTTAAACAACCCACGATCTCTGAGATCTCTGAGGCCATTTTTTTTAAAGATCCAAAAATCCTGACCTCATAATGACTTATCTGGTTTGTATCCAGTTAAATAAAATATATAAAAACAGTTCATTGTTTTTTTGTGTGTGTGTGAGTGCTTTGAGCGAACTGTGCTAAAAAGGACAAACAGAGACTTTCATAAAAAATAAAAACATATGTGTTTTTATTTTTTTTTCTATAGGGAAATATTGCTGTGAATTGTGTTTTCAGTCGCGTGTTTTGCCACCGTCACACATCGGCCCGGACCGGGGACTCACCACATCGGGACGCAGGAACCTGCTGAGAAACCAGGGCCCTGATTGTCGGCATGGGGATGAGCGCAAAGAGGGTGAATAAACGGGCTGTGGAGAGAAAGTTGAATTAATTATTATTTTTATTCTTCCAGGCGGCGTCCCCCTGCTGCTTTGAAGCTAATGCTAACTTCTTTCGCCCCAGCTAGCCTTTTCCCGCCCGGGTTGTTTGACTTCTTTCTGGTTGGCTAAACTTAAATACCTTTAGTTTCTTTTAAGTGCTAGTGGATCTTCATCAAGATTCAAATAAACTAGTCAAATCACATAAACTAATACTAAGCAATCTTACCAACATCCCCTGACAAAATGCTCTTAGGTTGTAAACAGATTGAATGGATTTATGAAACAGAAATGCCACCAAAAAGTGTTATACAAGCATAGCCTATTACACTTACAGAAAAAAAGAAAATGCCAAATAATTTCCCATTGTTGTTCTTGTTTGCACACATGCTAGCGTTAGCGACGCAGTACAGCTAGCTAATACAGGAAGTCAGAAAAGTAGAACTTCAACACAGCTTCAAAACCAATTATTAGCTACCATAATAAAGCATAAAGTCGTGTTTTGTTGCAATTCTGTATTTCACTTAATTATATGCCAGTCACTTTTGTCTTTTTCCCTGGAGATTTTGCAGATACAGAATGTATGTTATTGTTCTGCAGTAACCTTGAGCACTGTCTGAAAATCTAAGAATAGGAAGACTTTATGGCCTCAGATCGTTCCCACTTCCTCTTTCTTGAACTAGTGTTTTCAAAAACTTAGAAATTGCACAGCTAGACTTTAGCAGACCAGAAACGGAACGACGTCAGCACCGACTGGTGCCATTAGATGTTATATTGATCACTAGTTTGTGGAAATGATCCCTCATGATGCAGCTCTGAATCAACCAACACGCTGAGTCTCACCAATGTAGAAGAGGGAGGTCGTAGTGACGAAGGACATGACGTAGATTCCCACAGCGAACGACAGCATGCCAATCAGGATCATCGTTTCGTCACCGACGCATTTTCGGAACATCATGACGCCAAGAAAACTGGTGACGAAAATCCCGCAGCCTGCCGCATTTCCGTATCCCACCTGGAGAGAGAACAAAGAAATTTAGAGCACAGTTGGAAGATGCTGTGCTTTACATTTGTTTGAAAGCACAGTATCAAAAAGTAACAACTACAAACGTGACGTTACTTGTGTGGCAGTCCAGCTGAGCGGCGATTTCAGCACGAAGGGGCCCAGGACCTCGACGGCTCCGCCCACAGCAAAGTCGTAGAGGAAGGCCGCCGCAAACAGGAGAACCACGTTGGGCAGGTTGACCCCAGCACAACACCCGGTGAGACGATGATGACGGGAGGCGTGAGAGAGGAGGTGGTAGCGTTCCTCCGAGTCCTCACTGTTCACCCGTTTCACCTGTTGATATGAAGGAAATGCAAAATGCGCTTTCACAGAAAGTCAGAAACCTGGAGAACTACAACCTGCAGCTGCACTCAAGTTTTTTCACATTTTGCCATATTGCAGAATGGGAGTGTAGTGTATAGTAGCAGAATGTTGTCCTTCATTTAACCTGACAAAACCCCATTGAGATCCATATCTCATTTGCAAGAGGAACCAGGGCAGAAAATCCGCAACACACAACAAACTGGTGACATTATTGATTTTATGTGACACTATCACAAAGCGGCTTATACTTGTGAACTGCAAGGAAAATGATGCTGTTCTGTTAAAGCCTAAACGGTTTGTTAAAGGACATAACAAAGACCAAGAAAGTTAGAGAACTTGTTGCCAGAGCAGGTGAATGTCTTGCATTCTACAGAGCTGGTTTTATGGTATTGTGGTGAGAGAAGCTACAAGAAGTCTTTGCAGTTTGCCACAAGACATGGAGGGAAGCAGCAAACGTGTAGAAGAACAGAACAAAACTGAGCTTTATGGCCTGTGAGCAAAATGCCACATGTAGCAGAAAACATACAATTAGCCTCATCGTACATTTCATTCTGCTACTTTGTTTTGGTCTATCAGGCTACAAAAACATTAAAGTTTGTGGTGGAAACATGATAAAATGTGAAAAAGCTTATAAACTTAAGCAGAGATATAAACTTTTGCATTGCATTTTTTCTTTCTTTTTTTTTTTTTTTTTTTTACTGAAAGCCAACTATGAAGCTGGAAAACATGTAACAGCAAAGTTTCCCCCATAAATCTTGCTAAACCCGGTGGTTGGTTGCAAGGGCAGTCATTCATCCAGCTGCTTGTTGTGTTTTTGAGTTAAAAAACGTTTAAAGTTGACAGGAAATTTGAAGATATCGCTTGATAATTATGTGTTATTGAAAGATTGGATGATTAATACCTGAACACCAACTATAAAGTCTTAAAAACTGCAAACAATTTAAAAAGACATACATAAATAAGCAATGCTTAGCCTGGCGGTGGCACAAGTAAAGCCTGGTGGTCCGCCAGACTTATAATACGTTGGGGGAAACTGAATAGTCACTGACCTGCAGCAGGGCTGCAGCGAATATGAAGCAGAGCAGGTTCAGGAGCGTGCTCACAGAGAGCAGGACGGTTCCGTTTCCCAGACTGGAACTGTAAAGCAGGAACAGATGACCTGACACCAAGCTGCCCACCACTCCTGTCAACCCGTACAGCAGCTCCACTCTCATCATCACCTGCGTGGCAAAAGAACAGGAAGTGATTCCTCTGAGAGAGCAAACGCACGGCAACTGAAAAACGCTGCTTCCACGTCGGGGGGCCACTTGCCACACTCTAAAATCTGAAGCTACGCTACGACAGTTATTACTAGAAAACATGGACAGTCACATGATTCAATTTGACACATACAGGAAAATGAGAAATAAAATTTAAAAAAAGTCCCAAGTGTTGCAACAAAAGCAAATATTGGAGAACAGTGAAAGTGAATCTAAAGAGTGGTTTCACATGGAGCAGGAGAGATAAAGGCTGATAGGCAAAAGAAAAATAAAGGTAAATAGAATCACCGATTATTAAGGAGAAAAAAATGTTTTAGTCATTCCTGGTTTCCATCAGCCAAAGCCTACAAGTGCATCTCAGTGACTTATGATGCCATTGAAAAGTTAACTTACTTCACTTATTTAAACACAAAAAGAAAGTTCAGGTATTTTTTCTGCAATGAGTTCTGCTTCACAATTCTCTCAAGGCTGTGGTTACTCCTGTCACTTGAACACATTGTCCTTCCACTAAACTTTCCAATGATGACTTGCCCTGTGTGGACATGCTGCTTCTTTTATCAGTGACCATTTCTGGCTTACAGGCTTTGTGGAGGCTGATAATCACTGTAATTACTACAGTTATTAAAAGTTTTTGTTTGTATGAATACATAACTGGCAGCCTTTCCAATCAAAACTCACTCTAGTATAAACCACCGACCTTGGAGCGATCAGCCGCCGTGGAGCCGAGCGACGCCAGAGTCATGATTCCGGGCCAGAAGGCGCTGAAGCCCCCGCATAACCCGAAAACCACCGCGGCTGCAAACATCAGCTTGAGCGGAAGACCTAAAATGACCACCAGGAGCAGGGCGAGCCTGGACAGCAGGTACCCGCCCAGGGGCACCACGATGGGCGCCCTCCTCCAACCGCGATCACCGAGGCTGGCCAGGACCAGCGCCGGGATAACGGGCGTGAACTGGACGATGAGGTTATAGGTCATGTAGAAGTCGGTGATGGCCGTCTGCCGGCTCTCCTCGCTGGAGCGGCCGGGCTCGGTGATGTTGGCGGTCCGGTCCCTCACCACCATCTGCAGGGCGGTGTCGAACAGAGTGCTGCCCAGCTGCTCCAGCGCGATGATCGGCTCGATCCGCCGAAACACCGCGAAGGCTGAGCCGCACAAACCCGGCGTCGCCATGACGTTGGGTGATCGGCTCTTCAGAGGGAGCAGCAGGGACTGACCGCTGCTGCAGCTGCTGCAGCCGCTGCTGCTTTCATAAAAATCACAAGAACGGCTCTGAGCAGCGAGCTGCCTCTGACTGGGAGGGACTGCGGGTCCATTTCCTCATCTGTTCACTGATCATCACCCGATGTTCCCTAAAATGAAGGAACCTAACTGAAGTGTGATGATCAGTGGCAAAAAACAAAACAAACAACCTTTCAGGAATTTCCCCCGCATTTTCTCAACTTTTTATTCGTGTATTGTTTCCTGTGTGTGAAAGTTGCTGCTGTCAACAAAAGTAAACCTGGAGATTCTCACAATCACTAAATGTTTATTACTACTTTACAAACTTTCTCTAAAGTTTCACTGTGTTGGTTGATATTTTCATCTTTTGACAAATGTTGCCTATAGGGAACTTATAAGTGCTTAAGTTCCATATAAGTTCCCTATAGGCACTTATAGGGAACATTTGGGAGCCTTGGGGGAACAAAGCGGGTTTAAAAACTGGCTTTATCGATTCTTGATCCTTCATTAAGGTTTCTGCCAGTTACCTACAGTCCAAAACCATCTAACAATATTTTTTTTAAACCGACTTTAATTGGTCTTAGTTGTCTTTATGAGAATACATTTACAAGAAACCACTTATCTAACTACTTCTATTATAAAAAAAAAGAAAGTTTCTAAACTATAAAAGTAAGTGGCACATGACTTTTAAGACATGTGCCACGATTCTGAAAGCATGTTCACATCACAGGTTGGTCGAAACTGGGTGTAAACCACTGATTAAGGGATTTTGTGTCGACAGACTGAACTGTTATGTTCAACAATGGCACTGTTTACTCTCAGCCTCTGTTTCAGTTTTTAAAAGATGCCTCTCTTTTTGTTTAAACATGTAAATGAAGCACTCTGACACCACACATGTCCAGGTTTTACTTTTAATGAGAAAATATCCATAATATGTGTAGTATGTGTATACTGTGAGCCTTACATGTGCTACAAAATAACCAAGCAGATTATGAGCATACAAGTGGTTAACATAGGAACAGAGGTTATGTCGTATATTTAGCAAAATATTACTGGTTTAATCACACACACACAGAGACAGCGTGGGTCACACACTGACGCCTCTTGAGCTTCTAAAAGGAGAAAACTGAGTCACCAGCATTTAAAATGACAAATAAAACCATCTCTGCACTTTGGCTTCAAACATAAAAGCATCACCTTAATAATAATATATAAATCACACAGTGCAACAACTCCTCTGTGTGTGCATGGGACAGATTGTGAGAATAATCAATGACATTTGGGAGTTGATTGAATATGATCAGAAAAAGTTCTTGCAAATATTCCTCCTCATTTACCTACATGTGAATTATTAAAGATTCAATGCTGTGCTGAAATGTTATTTTGCGATTACGGACTCCGTATTTCTATAAAGGAAGTAAAGCAAAGTATTTGCTTGTAAGCAGTTGCAGCAGCTGATATCACGAGGAGTGGAGAACCGGTTCCACCTGTTGGGGTTTTTTTTTCCTCCTACTTGTCCTCCAGATTCTTTTCAGCGCCACACTACAATTTATCTAACATCTGAGTTTGTGGAAAAGGGACACAATTCCTTTAAAAAAGTAAAAGTGAAACATTAATAACATTAACTGAAGGTGAAATGAAGCGTTCAGGTTGCTCCCGGTTTGGGTACACAGAGGTTTAGTCCCATTTTGAAAGTTCGGGACAGACTGCGACCTTCGGTTTAAATAAATCGTTTTATCCTCATGCCTGCAACGTGGCAGAGAAAATAACCTCACAGGTCAGCTATGAAATAGAAATTTGCCTTCCTTTATAATTCTTGAGATTACCTAGGCCTAATAATTAAGCATGTTCCCACAACACCACTGCAAAACTGCCCTGTTCCTACGAATTAAAGTCAATCACTGCAAAAACACAAAATCTTAAGTTTTTTTGGTCTTCGCACTAGAACCTGGTTTAGCTTACTACACTTGAAGTAAGAAAACTAGCAACTTTTCAGCATGATCCAGGATATTAAATTACATAAATAAATCCTTAATACTAATTTAAAAAGTACTAGTTTGGATTTTTATGCTTAAAACAACACATTTCTATCATGTATTAAGTGTAAAAATCTGACATTGGAACGTGAGTTATATAGTTTTTTATCTATGTTAAGAAACTGCTCACTTAAAACAAGCTATTATATCTTGCTTAAAAGTTACTTGTAGGTTAGTTTTGTCATATTTCAAGAGTGCTAAGATACCTGCACTAGAAACCAGACAAAACATATTTTCTATGATGTTGTGTTTTTGCAGTGAAGCGATAAGTGCCTGGAGTTTTCTCCAGCTTTATGGACCATAGAGTAACAGAGCACCTCCCTCCCCCACTAGTTGCTGCACATTTCCAGTCAGCTGGCTAAAAGCAGCTGCGTATTTTTAGCCACAGCTCATTCTACTTACAAAAGACAAAAACCGTATGCGGGAAAACAAGACGAGCAGGGTGCAGAAATGTAGTCGCTTAATATCAGCTTAATATCAGTTCCTGCCGCTGCTCTGTGCTTGTTGCAGTTTGGGGGGAAAAGAGTGCAAATCCATGCACACAATCAATACTTCTTAAATAGATTTAAGAGCTTTTTTCCCCCCTCGAAATAAAATTTTGTTTTGGTATAACAACCTTTTTATAACCTTTTCAGTATCCCAAGTCAAATTTGATCTTCAGCCACATGTTCACACATCAGAAACACTTCACTGTAACAACTGCTTACATCTGAAAGCACAGGCCAACGAACCCAACAAAATTGAAATAACTGGTCTTCAGAATATGAAACAAACACTTAAGTCTACCTTAAATCTTAAAAATCTGTGAAATTTAGAGATTACAGACAAACTTTCAGTCAGATGTGGTTCCATCTTTTCTCTAGGTCCTATTGAAGGAGAAGTAATACAGATAGAAGAGAAGCAAATACATCATATGCAGCAGCTACTGATAGTCTAAGGCAGAGACAGTTTTTGCTATTGTTTTTTGCAGATTTACTTACCAGCATTTAACAATCCAGGGATGCTGTCGATCCGGCACTTTAAATTTAATAAAGATACTTAAACAAGTGTAGAAGTTCCCATCAACATTTGACATAAAGTGTGCACATCCTAAAACAACGTGGGTTGGAGAGTCAGTGGTGCCCTTTGGTTGAGTTCCTCCAAGACGCTGTGGTCCTTCTGCAGCGTTGTGAAAGTTTCAAAAATGTCGGAAATGTCAAAAATGTGTTCATGCTTTCTCTTGGCTTCGTCTTTCTTTCCACAACGCACACACACGCGCGCACACACCTGGTTCTCTTCCTGTTGAGACGTCAGGGTTTTCTAAAACAACCGCAAGTCCATTCAGCAACTCTCTGGAAACAATCTTTACATCTTAGCTCTTAGTTCAATCATTAAACTGCAAATAGATAAAAAAAAAAAAAAAATTATAAAATAAAAATTCAAAGTCACTCAGCGTCTACCAGCTTGTGGAGACAATACGCCTTAAATGTTGAAACCTCATCATCAAACCTCCGTAAAACCCTTCTAACATGTCAACTATCAAATACCAACCTCACTGTTACTACTTGGGTTCTCAGGTCCCCAAACTGATGCATCTCATCAGGCATCTTGTGATCATCAGGATACAGTTAGCATAATAAATACTGGTTAATTCGCCATTCTTTCCACCCCATCATCCTCATCAACGCACTCTGTCTCCTTCTTCACAGTCCCTGAAAAGAGTTGTTCACTCTTCCTCCTCCTCCTCCTCTTCTTCTTCCTCTTCTTCCTCTCCTTCCTCGTTGGCATAGATACCAGCTTCCCACTTCAGCGCCATGTTGCTCTTCCTCCTGGTCATCCTTGTTGCCTCCAGAACCTGAAGTAGATACAATGTCCAATCAGAGTGGAGCGTGGTCTGAGCAAACTAGTGAACAGAACACACGCTTTTTCTCCAGCAAGGAGCAGCAAAGTCTTAAAATCAAATTCTGACATGCAAGTTAAGCTGAACTCTGGGTGACGGCCTTTTCTGCATCAGCAATCTCCCAAAAAGGAACTTTAAATCACATCCATTCAAATAAATTTAAGGAAGCAACTCGAGAAGATTTTAACAATAATAAGCTTCTTGTAGGAAACCAAGTGCGGCATTAAGTTTATCTAAAGAGAATGTTTGTTTAATTTTAACATCTGAAGTCAATTATGTGTTTCTGTTTAAATACAGCAGATGACATGAGATGTCATTTCCAAGTAAGCAATGAAATAAAAAGTCAAGAAAAGCTTCCTCTCTGTTTTGATATCACTTGTTGATAACTCAGGAATGCTTGGGTTCCAGTTGTTCTCTAAAGAGTGTACCGCTAAACTGAAAGATGTCTGGGGACATCTGAGGGAAGCAGCTCACACTATACACTGAGAGAGGAAAAGGAAACAGCTGCAGCCTCCTATACTGAATTGTACAAGGTATGAAATACCTACATTTTGAATAAAAATAATTTTTATGCACAAAAATTTTTATGGTGAAAATTACAGTTTTGAGAAATGTGCACACATTAGGGAAATATTTTTTAAAACATTGCTGCTCAAATTATAGCACGATGTACTAACAACATAGTCTATTTAGGGACTGAATAATTATATAAAATGCAATTATGGGGAAACTAGTTGGACATTTGAGACTTCAGGTAACAAAGTATTTTGATACATCCTTGTTAGAAATAAATAATATTCAGACTGTACAATTGGCTTTCAAAAGGTAAAATGTAAATGAAGACACATGCAGAACCAACACAACAAAATCGAACAATGCAGTAAGACAACAAGCAGACCTGGGACCATATTTACACCCATTTTTGCTTCCTTTAAGAATTAAAACAAGATTTATATGTATAAAATACATTGGTTTCTTAATTCAAGGGACATACCTGCAGTAGTAAGTATCAAGACATTCAGCGGTTGTCTAACTGTGTGTAACCAAACACCTCTAAAGTTCAAAGACAAACAGGAGTGTGCAAATTTTTCTGACCCAGGTCTGTTTGTAAAGGCAGTTAAGGGAGCGGCGAGATTTCAGGGCGTATTGAATACCTCAGTGGTTACTTCATTAGCCCGCAACAAATGTGCGTACTGAGCGACCAGCAGGAGAGAAGCAACAGGACAGAAAAGTCAACACATGATGTCATCATGAATAAAAGAATCACAATTCATCATGTAATCAAGGTGAATTCAGTTTAAGGAATGTAAAGAGGTTTTGCAGTTTGCAAACTGTTACTTTGTGT